CCCTCTGTGGGCCTGCGCAACACTAACAGTAGCCTGCCACAGGCATACTGGTTCTCCCCGCAAGAACTCCATCTCTGGATGGAAAGACATGCCCACGAGTGAGCACCGGTCAGGGTCAGAGCAGAGGGCCCCGCAGAGGGTCCTGAGAAGGGTCTGCAGTGTGCAGGGTCCAGCAGGCAGAGGGCAGAGAGTCTGGGTCCTGCGTCCTTGTTGGCTGGGCTGACAAGAAGCAGAGCAGACTACAGGCTCAGGGGTCACCCAGCCTGACCACACAATCATCCCCCTACCCCTGGCGGCACAGGCACACGCGGCTCTCAGCAGCGCCGGCCCCTCTCCTGGGGCTCAGATCAGATACTCGGTCTTTCTGCCCTGAGCCTGCGCTGGCTGTGGAACGCGGCTCAGAGGGAGCCTTGGTGGGCTGCTGGGAGGGGTGCGCTCGGGCGCACAAAGGGCTGTGCGGGGCCTGGCACCCAGCTCGCTCCCCAGGCCGCTGTCTCCAGGGCCGTTGCTGATGTCATTGCCAGGCTCTGTTTTCTCCCATCCCGAGCTGAAGGGCTCTTGGACACGGGCGCTGACCCCAGACACTGCCCTCCCGGACACGGACGTCGGTGGCCCCACTGATGCCCCCGCCCCCAGCGTTGGACAGTAGGCCCTCTGCCAGGAATGCCCTTTTCCCTGCCCCTACATTTCCTCCTGAAAGCCTCCAGCCCCAGCTCGAACGGCATCTCTCCATGAAGGAGCTCTGATTCCCGCGCCCTCTTCCGCACCCACCGAGCCTCCTGGACCTGGGGCACTGCCATCCGGCCTGCGCGTGAGACCGGAGGCACTGGGGTCAGAGGCGAGCTCCGAGTCCTGGAGGCAGAGCCACCCGGCAGTCGGCCAAGGCGGGGAGCCCGTCCCACCCAACGGGGAGCCAAGAGGCCGACCGCCCCGGCCCTCCCACCTCCCCAGCGACCCCGGGGTGCGCTTGAGACGGTTCTGCCCCCAGTGCGGGGGGCAGGCGCGGCCCGCCCTGTCTCACCGCCAGGCCCTCCTCGTTCCCCGGACCGGGACCTGGCCCAGTAGGAGCCCCAGACGACCGTGGCGCTGGCCCAGCGACTTCAGCTTACCCGCCCCGACCGACCCTCGCCGGTCCGCGGTCCCCAGCACTCACCGCGCGGGTGCGGCCCGAACGCCACCAGCACGAAGTAGTCCGCGAGCCGCGCCATGGCGAGGGGCGCGGGCGGGCTCCGCGGCTCGGGGACGCGAGGGCGGCGCGCTCATGGCCCGGCTCCGGCCCCGATCGGCGCACGCCGGACGCCCCGGGCCCGCTCCGCTGCGGCGGCCAGGGTTCCCGCCGCCATCTTCCCAGCCAGCCGGCCCGCCCGGCCGCGCCGCGCGCCTGCGCGGCCTCGCTCCGCCCTGGAGGCGGGGGCCCCGGAACAACGCGCTCCCATTGGTCCAGGCGCTCGGGCTCGGTTCTTGGGGCGGGGCCTCTTCCACCACCGCCCACTCCGGGCCAGGGCACCGCCCCCCGGGCGGTGACAGCGACGGCGGCTCCCGCGGGTCAGGGGCAGGCGCGGCCGGATCTCCGAGGCTCAGTCCCTGGTTACTGTCAGCCTGGAGGAAGGCCGAGGGGCCGGGCCGGCCTACAGGTCTCCCAGGTGGGGGCATCCCCTCAGGTCCTGCGCAGGGGCAGGACCCAGGCCATGCGGGTGGGGTTCCCAGCCTGAGGAGGGCTCGAGCCCCACCTGGTCCAGGTGGAGTGAGATTTAACACGTGTCCTTTAAAAAGGCACGCTGCACGTCCTGCTGAAAAGAGCAGTGTTTAAGACGCGAGGCCCTGGAGGCCCAGCTGAGTGCTGGGCGAAGGCTGCACCCTCCCAAGTACCCGGACAGTGCCCACCGCCCCCAAGGGTAGGGCTGGGCGGGGAGAATGAATGACACCAAACCCAGAGACAAGAGCTGAGCCCACCAGACACCCCTCCCCTCCTGGGTGCACTGGCTGCCACAGCCTCCTTTGTTGGGTACCTCCAGTTCTGCCCGAGTTGGTTTCTCCACTGCAGCCAAAAGGGGCTGAGCACCAGTAGCACTGCACCGAGCCTGTGCATGGCTGGACAGGGTCCCTGGCCAGTCCTCTGGCTGGCATCTGGCTCTCCTCACCCTCCTGCTCTAAGGAGTCTGTTTCTGCTCAGAGACACCCTAGGGTCACAGGGAGGCGGAGGGCCCTTCTAAACCACAATGCCCCTCCCAAGTTTTTTGCTGTGGAGTTTCCCGCCTTCTATACTGCCCAGGCCACCCTGCCTGCCTCCTCCCCCTTTGAAGGGTTGGTGCCTTCCCTGTTCTCCCCCCAGGCCTTCTTGTGGGGAGTGACCCTCCCTGATCGATTCTCCTTCAGTTCCTTCACCTGACCCAGCTCGGCTCCCATTACCTGTCACCTGCCAATGCCGTTGGCCCCCCGCCTCCTAACTTGGTTTTCATTGTCCCCACCAGGCAAACCTCAGCCACACACATGCAGTCCCGCCCATCCATCCGTCCCCCCACACCCGTCTCCTTCGGCCCAGCACCACCTACGGTGCAGATGGCCACCGTGACACCATGACCCCAGCCACAGTTGGACACCCCCCACCCTGCCCAGCCTGCTGAGGTCTGGTCAGCTCTCTTGTGCCCTGCAGTCTCCTCAAACCTCTTCCCTCACCCCTGTGTCTCAGAGGCTGACCACTGCCCTCCTTCACGGAGAACACAGAAGCCATCCCGTGGGGGGGCCAAGTGTTGCGTCAGCAAACCCCAAGCCCACCTCCCTCACCCCCACCTCCTTCCAACCAGAGGCGCTGCCCCCCTCCTCCTCCCGCCTCTTGCTGCTGCTCCCCCACATCCCCAGCCTCAATCTTCCCCTTGCTGAAATCCTGGTCAACAGGGTCAGACTCACTCTCCCCTTCAAATGCTCTACAAAACCGCCCTCGAAGCTGTCAGCCCACTCTGGCTTTTCTTACCCCACACGGATGTCTCTAAAGCAGCCCCCCTGCCTGCTGTGGCCTGGTTCCCGCTCTCCAGGGGAGTCTCCATCCCTGAGCGCTCCCAGCAGCCAGCCCCCCACTCCCCAGAGGCAGCTCCTCCCACTAAGGATGAATGAAGGGACCCCCGGCCCCCCCCTGGGAGGGCACAGGGACATTACAGCTCATGTGTTGTGCAGGAGGCTGTGGCATCAAAGGGAGGGGCCTCTCATCCAGTGGGCAAAATAAGCAGCCTGAGGCCAGAGAACACGGGACACTGTGGCCATCCTTGGGCTTTTGGGGAGATGGGACCTTGGGCCCACGGTGGCAGTAGGTGTCCCAACAGGGAGAGTGCGGTGAGCCCTGGGCCCACAAACCTCCCTGAGTCTCGCCTGCAGCACCCGGGTGGAAAGCTGCTGGAGACAGAGAATTTGGATGCTTTTCTTTCATTGGTGGGCTGAGTGATATGGTCACATTTGGGTTTAGAAGGGTGGTTCTGGCCCCAGCATGGAAGACAGAATTGTCCGGGTTCTCCGCGCCCCTCCCTCCCTGACCTCCACGGCCGGCAGTGCTCACTCGCCCCTGCCCGCCAGAGGCTGGCTGTCTCCCAAACTCCCCAAACCGTGTTTCCCTCTGTGCCCCAATTCAGCCCTGGGCCCGTGAGGGTGGAGGCCAGCCAGACACCCCTGCCAGGATGGGCCCAGGCTGCTCACCTTCCACTCTCTGCAGGAACCCCCCACCCTGCACAGTCTCTCTCCGATGCACCCAGTCGTCCCCACGGCCCCCTCCCCCAGCCCCCCCACCCCCGCATCCACCTCCCTGCTGAACTCCACTTTTCTAATGTAAACGTGACCATGGCACTGTCCCTCCTCCACACACTGGTAAAAGTAGACAGAAGGAGGGGTACCTGCTGACGCCTCCCACCTTCCGCAGGCCGGATGCAAGCTGGTTGGTGTGGGCCCCGTTGACACTTGTGGACTCATTCATCCGGCAAGTGTTGACCAGCCCTGGAGGAGTGCTGCGCAGGAGGGATGGAGGGGGTGGAGGGGGATTGGGGGAGGAAGACGGGGCAGAACGCCCCCATCCCCCGCCCCCCGCTGTGAGGAGAGGCAGGTGAACCCAGAGATGCTCAGTCAGCCAAGAGAGGGGCGTGGACCATCATCTCCTCTCAGAGTGACAAAGGAGCGAAGACCCGCTAGCACCAAGTCCATTATGGGTTGACAGTGGATTGACACAAGCTTCCTGGAGAACAAGTTGGCACTAACTGTTTACACGGACACAGGCTCACCCTCACCCAGCACTTCCACTTCTAAGAAAGTACCCTATGGAGACATATCTGTGAGCCCACAACTCAGGGGTCCTTCTGGAGACTGGCTGATTGCTCGCTTGTTAATAGAGGGCCAGTAAAGTAAGTCACAGAACACGGACATGTTGGAGCAAGGCCACTAGCAAGAAAGTCAGGAGAGCTCTGTGTTTGCGTGTGTTTTAGTTCCATGTGTGTGTTGTGTGCGGGTAGCATACAGGAGAAAGCCAGGAGCGGGGCGTCCACCCCGATCTGGGGCAGGAGCCCACCGTGGGTGGCAAGGGGGGGCTCCCTCTTACTTGTTTAAATTTCTCACAAAACCAGTTAGTACAATACTTCTGTAATGAGGGGAAACCGTCTGGGCTTCTAGAGGGTCTTGGGGGGCCTTGAAACCGTCTCTGTGGGGAACGGAGCAACCAGCCTTCTGTGTTCTCAGGCAGAGAGGCTGGCCAGGCACCCAGACACACCCCAGGAAGAGAGGTGGGGGTGGTAACCAGCCCGTGGGCAGCTCCTGCCACCCAGGAGGTCAGGCCCCACCTCCAGGCTCCAGAAAAGTGTCCCTCACCACAGGGAGGGGGTCCTGGGGCCCAGCCCCTTCAGCCACCCCCTCCCTGAGCCCACAGTGCCGCCCCATGGACTGTGCAGGACTGGGGAGCTGGTGGGAGGGCTGAGTTGGGGGAGACTGGGGGAGGGAGCCTAGTCGTCACCTCCTCCTGGAAAGACTACTTAGCTCTGCAGGTGCGAAGGCTCTGTCCCAAGCAGGGTGGACAGACGGACAGACGCAGGTGCCAGCCTGCCCGCCCCCACCTGGAGGCCTCCCCTCGGAAGGGCGGCTCCAGGCCAGCCCCCACCCCAACTCCGCTCCCTCCGGCTCCCGCTGGCCTCCAGCCCCACCGCCATGGCCCGGCTCCTGCTGGCAGCCCTCGGCTGCACCAGCCTCCTCCACCTGCAGCTCCCCGACGCGCTGTCTGGCTGCCAGGGCAGGAGCCCGAGGCCCGCCCAGCCCAGGTGAGGGGGCCTCAGACCAGCCCTGCCCTGGACAAAGCCGCGGAAACCGTAGTGCCTGGGGAGGCCCCCTTCTCTCCCTACTCCTTCCCATTCCCCCACCTCCGTGTTGGGGAAGACACCCCCAAATCAAGAGCCATGTCTTCAGCCACCCCTGAGTAGCGCAAGAGTCCCCTCTTTTCTTGCCTCCCTTCCCAGGGCAGTCCTCTGCCCCCATGCTTGAGTGTAGCCCCCTCGACAGAGAGGTCAGCAGGGGCACCAGAGGCTGGAGGGGCCCCAGGCCGGCCTACCTCCTCCGAAGTACTGCAGGAAGGGCTGGGGGTGGTGGTCACTGGACCTGAGCACAGTGACCCACAGAGGCCAGGGGTGCCCTTTGCCCAGGGAGGCCCCGGTGAATGGGACATGGGGCCTGGGCTCCTGAGAGGGCGGAGGAGCCAGGCCCCACGCCCTGGCAGTGCTCCAGGCTGGAAGCGGGGACCCCCTGGAAGGTGCGTCCGCTGGCTTCCTCCCACCTTCCCTGCAGCGGGCCTCCAGCCCGGACGCCCTCCAGGAGGCTGCAGCCCCGGCACCTTGCACCGTGGCCTGACACCCGGAAGCCACACCAGGCCCTACAGCCACAGAGGGGTGCCAGCCTGTCCCCTGCTGTGGGTCGGCCTCTCTGGAAGGGTCCCCGCCGACGCTCGGGCCCCCCGAGGCCCAGAGCCCCACTCCTGCGGGTGGGCTGTTTGCTGGGCACCTGCCAAGTGCAGAACCTCAGCCACCGCCTGTGGCAGCTCATCGCCTCAGCCGGCCCGCGAGACCCGGCCCCCGTGGACCCCAGCAGCCCCCGCAGCTATGGCTGATGCGGGGCAGGCCATGCCCCTGCGGGTCCCAGCCAGGTGCTCTACCCCAACCCCAGAGCTGCAGCTAAGCCCCAGCCCAGCTCAGCCCCCGGGGCTCCTGCAGACAGTGGTCGCTCCATCACTGGAGGGAGGGGACATGGAGGAGACCTAGCCACACACCCACCAGGTGCCGCAGCCTTGAGCAGGTTTGGACAGGTGGACGCAGGTACACATGTGTCCCCAGGCAGGTCTATGGGCAGAGCCCAGATGCCCGGGGCTCTGTGCACGGCAGGGGTGGGCCCCCCCGGGTGGTCAGAGGTGGCCAGAACGTTGAAGGGCTTCAGGGGGAGAAGTCTGCTGAAGGGCACAGCAGGCGTCCATCCAGACCACACAGCACCCCCTCTGGGCCAGCGGGGGGCAGGGGCCCGGGGGGCCCGACGGCATCGCCCTTCCTGCTCGGCCCACTGTCAAGTCAAACCCAGCTCTGGGCCTGCCTGGGGGCCCGGCTCTAGGTCCTCCTTCCCCTGCCCGTGGGGCTGGGAGGGCAGTGGAAAGGGGGACCCCACCTCGGGCCCCAGGGCCGGCTGAGGGGCCGGGCTGTGCTGAGCAGACCTGGGCCCAGGCTGCAGTGAAGGCCCCAGTCTCACCTTGTGGGGGGCTGCAGAGGAGGGCCAGGGGTTTCCGAGCCACGGTGTGCTCTGGGGCAGAGCAGAGAGGAACACACCTCCCCCTCCTCAGGCCAGGCAGGCTGGCTTGGGGACAAGATCTCCCAGCAGAAATAGCTCGATGCAATCAGAACCGCCACCACTGCCAGGGCTGGGGTGGGGAGGGCCCGCGGGGGGGGGGGCAACGCAGGCTCTCTCCCCCCACCCCTGCCCTGGCTGTGGTGGGACTCAGTGGGACCAGGTGTGAGCACAGCAGGAGGGTGGACCCAGCATGTCAGGAACCTGAGGAGGGGACTGGTGCACAGCCAGCGTGCTCCTCGTGCTCTCGCGAGTGTCCCCCAGGTGGGGCCTTTACCCGTCAGGACAACAGAACCTGTTGGGGACCCCGAGGTGCTGGCACCCCAGGCCAGACGGGCATGACCTGGGGTCCGAAAAGGCGGCCTCTTTCACTTAGCAACCCCTATACACAGCACTTAGTGTGTTCGCATTGGGCTGCATCACTCTTTCGGCCGCCCCACGAGGGGGCACAGTCATTATCCCAACTTCAGGGACAGAAACTGCAGCTGCCGAGGTCAGGGGCAAAGCCACGTCTGTGCAGGCCCACCCACAGAGCCCAAGCTCTGGGTCAAGGGCAGGAGACTCCTGAAGCACCTACCTGGGCCTCACCTGGGCTCGCTCCTCCACCTCAGGGATCACCTGGCCAGCTAAGGCACCTGCCCTCCCCCGGGCCCTGGGGAAGAGTTCAGGCTGCTGCCTGGCCTGCTGGAGCAGCCGGAGACCTCCATGCTGAGGGCGACGGGCTAAGGACCTCACGGTCCCCCGAGGGGGACCAGTCCCCTCACACACAGGACGTGCCGGGGGCGGGGGGGCCGGGGGAAGCCACTGTGAAGCAGCTCCATGAGGCTGGCACTTGCCGGCTTGCCTCAGAGCACGGGCCTGTGGCCACTGAGGGGTGTCGGCAGGGGTAGGCGGGCGGGGAGGGCAGTGGGGGGGGGCCAAGCCGGGGCAAAGTCCTGGGCCTGCCTGGGGTCTGGTCCCGAACAGAGGATGTTCCCTCTGCCAGGGGCATGGCCCTGCAGGGCACCCTCTTCACCTGGCCAGGCCCCCAGGGTGGCACCTCGGTGTCTTCACTGAGACACCCCCCAGCTCTGGGCAGCTCCTCCTTGGAGCGGGATGGACTGTTGACCTGAATGCATCCATCACCTTGTCCTGTCGCGAGGTTGTCTGCCACGAGGTCACCTGCCGTGTCAAAGCATCCCACCTGGTGTCCGCCACCCCCAGCTCCAGTCCAGCCTTGGCCAGCCGACACCCTGCCGCTCCCCGAGGGGGTCTGGCGGCAGCACCTGAGCTCCCCCAGCCCCCACCCACCCACTGCCTTCCTGCAGCCCCTGCTTCTGGCCAAACCTCTTGTTAACCTAAAAAATAAAAGGCCTTTCAAAGTGAGAGGCAACAAGCATTTATTTAAGATCAAAGGAGATTTGTGGATTCCAGCGTAAGCCCGAAGTGTTCCTGTCAGGACACAGAGGTGGTGTGAGGAGGCGGGGGGGGGGTGCGGGGGGTGCGGGGGGTGCGGGCAGGGACCCCTGGCAGCAAGGCGATCCTGTGGGCACAGACGCCTCCGCACAGTGAGGCTGCTTCTCAACCCCGTCTAGATGCTTGGGTCCGGCAGCATTCACGGCTGCTTCCTCGGCCGTCTTTACGAACAGTTCTCTGGAACAAACAGGGTCGTTCAGTTGTTTGGAACAAACAAACAGGGTTGCTCAGGCCCAGCGCAAAGGTCAGTCTGCCCTGTGTTAACATCCAAAGGTCCGAGGCGTGTGGTGCACGAGGCAGGCATCCCTCTGGGGCGCAGCTCTGGCCCCATTTATGTTGTCGTTGGCACTTTCCCCTTTTGACCAAGGCCTTTCTTTGGAAGCTTTGTGGGTCAGCTATCAGAAAGCAGCTCTGATTCCTTCTGAAGGCGCCGCCGGTCCCCTGTGGTCAGGGGGCTCGTTCTGGCCGCGTCAGGCCTGCCTCCGTCTCGTCTCCACGCAGGCTCGATGCGGGGTGTCGTGCCCCACACGGGAGGGAGAGAGGTTTTTAGGGGCATCAGGCCACATTGGAGCAGCCAGAGCTCGGAGGGGGGCGGGTCCCGCCACACTGAAGGACCCACACCTGTCCTTTCCAGCCGTCTCTCCTGGGCTGTCCTGGAGACCTCAGCGGTCACCTCTGAACGCTGGGTGGCCGGGGCTTGGGGAGAGGCCGTTAGGACGTGGAGCTGCGCAGAACCAGGCTGTGGAGCCCCGAACGTTTCCCCAAGAACAAACGAAATGCTGAGTTCCACTGGGAGGTTGGAGCTGAGCCGGGCGCGGAGCCTGCGTTTCGGACAGACGGCAAAGGCACAGGAGAACCTCGGGGGGCGGGGGGCCAGGACACGGCCCCGTGCTCGGATTTTATCCAGTTTTATCTCTGTCCTGACAGCCGAGGTGTCTGACTGAGCACAGCAGGGACACCCGCCCGTTCAGCGAGGGTGCGGTCAAGAGCAAATCTGTTGTCATAGAGCTCGAGCGAGGGACCGTGAGGGTCCGTGAGGGTTTTCCCTGTGGGCTCCCGCGGTGGTGGCGTTGCAGTGCATGTCCAAGGAAGAGCGCTTCGGACCCCGCCGGGCAGACACCGCCAGGCACGGGGCACCCCTGACTCCGCGTGAGACCCGCTGTCTGCCTGCTCTGGCCCGGGGAGCAGTTAAAGCTGATGTCCGGTGTTCGCCTCCCAGCCAGAAACGCAGGGGAAAGGAAACAAGGGCTCTTTCCAGGGGCTGCTTGGTGTCTCCTGCTCTTTTTGTGAGATACACACGGGGAAAGGGAGGAAAGGAAGGTGCGGGGCCCACGGGTATCTGGAGAACAAGAATCAGAAACCCGGGACACTTCGTATAGAGTCACAAAGTCACAACCATCTGTATTCGTTCCTTTACTCCAAGGCCATTTTGTTGCCCCTGATGTTTTTGCTAAGTTTTTTATTGTATTGTATTTATTTATTTCTAGACAGAGGGGAAGGGGGGAGAAAGAGAGGGAGAGAAACATCGATGTGCGAGAGCTGCCTTTTCTGTTGCCTCCCACATGCCCTGCACTGCACAGCCGCCCCGCAGCCCAGGCCTGCGCCCTGCCCGGGAATTGAACCGCCGACCTTCTGGTTCGCAGGCCGGCGCTCAGTCCACTGAGCCACACTGGCCAGGGCTTGTTAACAGTTTTATGCTACACTATTTCCTCAGAATCTTTAGTCCATTCACTGTTACACTCTTACAGCTGCCAGAGACCTGTGTTTCAGAGACCTGGGAGGGTTTGTTTTTTATGAATCTCCGATGGTGATACGAACTGATAGGAATATGTTTGTCAAAACACCAGACTGAAACGATAACCGTCTGCATACGGCAGAGGACTTAAAACTGGCCTTGGGGAGAGACCTGGTGGGAGCCCCCCACGAATGATGTGATCGACTGCATGACCCCCCACTCTTAGTGCCGCCTGGACCTGCTCACGTGTATTTATGTGAAAACGACAGACCACTTTTTCTCAAAAAAATCCTGCACAAACCTGCAAATTTCCTAAACCTCCTGCAACATACATGTACCTTTCGGGCTTTGTCCTATTATTTTCTTAACTTTTTTATCTTCACACAAATATATTTTTTTCATCGCTTTTAGAGAGAGAGAGACAGGGGGACATTAGTTGTGCTGCTTCTCACAGGCACCCCGACCGGGATCGAACCTGGAACCTGGTTATGTGCCCTGACCAGGGATCAAAACTCCGACCTTTCTGTCTGCTTGACAATGTTCTAAAAAGCTGAGCCACACGGGCCAGGGCTTCTTCCTTATTTTGAAACACTTTTTAAAAAAGATTTTATTTATTTATCTCTACAGGGGAAGGGAAGGAGAGAGGGAGAGAAATGTCAATGTGTGGTTGCCTCTTGTGCATCCCGTGCTGGGAACTGGCCTGCAACCCAGGCATGTGCCCCGACTGGGATTGAACTGTGGTTGTTTGGTTCGCAGGCCCGCGCTCAATCCGCTGAGCCACACCAGCCAGGGCTGAAACACTTTTCAATAAAGATTTTATGGTCCTGGCTGGTGTGGCTCAGTAGATTGAGCTCGGGCCTTTGAATCAAAGGATCACTGTTCGATTCCCAGTCAGGGCACATGCCTGGGTTGCAGGCCAGTTCCCAGCACGGGATGCACAAGAGGCAACCACACATTGATATTTCTCTCCCTCTCTCTTTCCCTTCCCCTCTAAAGATAAATAAATTTTAAAAATTTAAAAAAATTTAAAAAGGTTTTATGTATTTATTTTTAGAGAGGGAAGGAAGGGACGAAGAGAGGGAAACATCAACGTGTGGGTGCCTCTCTCACGCCCCCTACTGGGGGCCTGGCCCACAACCCCGGCACGTGCCCTGACTGGGTTTGCAACCCATGACCCTTTGGTTCACAGGTGGGTGTTCAGTCCACTGAGCCGCACCAGCCAGGGCCACCCTATTTTTCATATACAGTCATTTCGTTTCATTTTGTTCCTTATTAGTTTTTAGTAGTTTTATAGAAAACTGTTTTACAAATGAACTTTAGCAAGGGGATTTATACACAGTCTGCGTTTTAGAAGGTTTCTCTTCTGCCCTTTCTGTGGACGGTGTTTGGTGAGTTTCCGCGTGTTCACAGTTCAAAGACACGGGAAGAGCCACCGCTTTAAAGCTGAGTCTTCCACTGCTATCCTCAGACATGTCAGAGTCTTACGTAATTTTTGGAACATTTATATTAATAACATATGTTCATAAATCTAATCAAAGGCTTTGTATCACTTACTTGACAATGTCTCCCGTGTAATTCACACACCAAGTGAGCTTAATTACTTCAATGTCTCTCTTTGATGAAGAGAGAATGTAAATATTTTGAGGTGTTTCAGGGGCCTCTGGAATACCTCAAACTTACTCTCTGGTCAATAAGATTTAATTTGGAATCTGATTTCGAGAAATCTGTTAAAATATCAAAAAAGTTTAAACATTTGGTTAAAGAGATTAATCACGGGTCACTGTGGAGTAATACCCAGTGAAACAATATTTCATCATCTGTTTAACCAAAGCGAGAAGAAAAGGTTTCCAAGACAGTCACAGAAGGTTACATAGCTGTCCGCAAAATATTAGCTCTTTGAATATTGAGAAGATTCAGTTCACGTAAAGCAATTACAGACCTGGTGGGAAAGAACACAGCAGATCATTTGAATAAAACATAAAATCTTGGTTTTCCCTTTATAATTTCTTATCAAGAGCATACCAACAGTATGGGAAAATTTTGTTCTGTTAGTAGAGAAATAACACTAAGTGAAACACAAGCTTGCTCTGCAAGAATCCTGTCAGTCAGGCCACCAGGAAGCCCCTGCTCCTGATGTCCCCTCCTGCCAGTCTTCCTTCCAGGGACTGCCCACCCCCGCCCCAGGACAGACTGTTCTATGCCCTGACTGCCCTCGGACCTGAGCACCCGGGGGCAGGGGGCGGGTTGCTCACTGCGGACCCCACGTGGAGGCTGGCTGCGCCTGGCAGCCCTCCAGGCCCCCCGCGGTGTGACGCACTCCCCGGAGGGCGGGCAGTGGGGCTGGCCCGGCCCGGCCCGGCCCAGCGGGTCCCCAGTTTCTGCAGGGGCATTCCTGTGTGAGCGCGGGGAAGGGGGGGGGGCAAGCCCCGCCTCAGCCTGCAGGAGCCTTCGGGGCAGCCGGCCTGCAGGGGTCGTCTGCTCTGGCAGCCGCCCAGGTGGCCCACCTCCCGTGTGTCTCCCTGAACAAACTCTATTCGTTACAGACAGCCTCTTCCCTCGGGCTCCCCGCCCTGCGCCCACAGAGCGGGGCTGCGGTGGGGGGCTGTCACGGGGGCTGCACACACACCCTGCCCCCACTCTGCTCGGGGCTGTCCTGGCTGCCCCACTCTGCTCGGGGCTGTCCTGGCTGCGTTCTGGAGGAGCCCGGGGTCGCCAGTGACCTCGGCCGTCAGCGAGCCCTGCCTCCCGGTTTCAGCGAGTGTCAGAGCAACTTTCTGAAACTGCCCGCTGCCCAGAACCTAGGGCCCTGAGGACTTGGGGGTGGCGTCCGGGTCCCACGCCCTGTCCGGAGGGGCCCACGCTGGGTGTGGCAGTGTTTGGCGAGAGTGCAGCAAAGCCACCAGACACCCTAAGCAGACCAGCTGGCCGGGGCAGGGGGTGGGGGAGGCGGGGGAGTCTGAGCTCAGGGAGAGGGGCTGGGGCCGCCCCGGTGCTGACGCACGGATTCGCTGAGGCCAGGAGGGGGGTGGGTTGTTACTCATTACCAAGGACCCAGGTCAAGGGGCCAGGTGGCGTCCAGCCACTTACATAACCTGTGAGCGTATATACAGGGGCCGGGCCGGTGGGGCTCTCGCCCTCCTGGCAGCGAGCGCGGCTCCCTCTCAGGATGAAGGTGGCTATGGTGAGTCCCCAGGCCCTGCACAGACCAGTCCCATTGGTTGCTCACTGGTGGCCAGCTGTCCCTCGTGGAAAGGGCCAGCAGCCCGATGCCTAGGCTCCCAGTGGGCCCGGGGCTCAGAAAGGAGAGACGTGTGGGGTCTCCGCCCCTCACAGCAACACTGGGGAGCAGGCATCAGGCCGACGTGCCCTCTTCGGAGCAGGACTTTCCGAGGCTGCCGGCCAGGGCAGAGGCTGGACGTGGGTGCAGCTGGGCTCTGGGGCGACCACTGGCCTCAGCGGGTCTCACGCCCCACCCCACGGGTCGGGGGTGAGGGAGAGTGTCCTCACAGAGCTGACATCACAGTGAAATGGATTTAATCCCCACCCACCAGGGTGCAGACCCTTCCCTGGTCTACAGGCCTGAGGTAGACTCGGAGGCGGCCAAGGACAAGGGCACCTTCCGCAATTACACCGTGAGCACCTCGCCCTGCCCCGACCTGCATTACCCGCCCACCCAGCCCACCCCAAGCCCCAGCCCTTCCCAGAGGAGGGACACTCTTCGTGGCAGAGGTCCAGGGCTGGCCCCCCCGGGAAGTCCCACGAGCACCCGCAAGGCCCGCCCTGAGAGGGGAGGCAGTGGGCCCCTGGGTGCGAAGCACGGAGCGCGGGCACCACCTGGCTGACCCTCTGGCCTGCAGAGCGGCCCACTCCTGGACCGAGTCTTCACCACCTACAAGCTCATGCACACGCAGCAGACGGTGGACTTCGTCAGGAGGAAGGTACCCGGCAGACTCCTCAGGCGGCTCCGAGAGTGGGGCTGCCCTGCCTGGGAGGCAGAATGGGCAGGGAGGAATTGGGCCCGGCCGCCCGAGACCCCGCTGACCTCGCCCTTCCTGGCCCAGCACGCCCAGTTCATGAACTTCTCCTACAAGAAGATGACCATCATGGAGGCCGTGGACATGCTGGACGAGCTGGTGGATGAGTCGGACCCAGACGTGGACTTCCCCAACTCCTTCCATGCCTTCCAGACAGCCGAGGGCATCCGGAAGGCCCACCCGGACAAGGGTGTGCCCCCGCCCCACCCCTCCCCGGCCGTGGGGGGGGCGCTGCCCGTGCCCCGCCCAGACCTGTTCCTCCCCTCCCCTGGCCCGGCACCCCCAGCAGCCCGCCCGCCCTGTCTCTCTCCTCCCAGACTGGTTCCACCTCGTCGGGCTCCTGCACGACCTGGGGAAGGTCCTGGCGCTGGCGGGGGAGCCCCAGGTGAGGGCAGGGGCAGCCTCAGCTCTGGGCTTGGGCACCCACCAGGCGGGCCGGCCTGTCGGGCCCACACACAGCCGCCTGTCCCCCCGCAGTGGGCGGTCGTTGGAGACACATTCCCGGTTGGCTGCCGTCCCCAGCCCTCTGTGGTTTTCTGTGACTCCACCTTCCAGGACAACCCCGACCTCCGGGACCCTCGATACAGGTGACCCTGCAGCGCCGCTGGCCCTCCCCTCCCCGGGGGGCTTCTGAGCCCTCACCCTCCATTTCTCCCTGCAGCACGGAACTGGGCATGTACCAGCCACACTGCGGACTTGAGAACGTCCTCATGTCCTGGGGCCATGACGGTGAGGCTGGGCAGAGGGAGCAGCAGGGCCAGTCCGCCCAGGGTGGGGGCTGCCCCTCTGGGCGTCTGGTGGTTACACCCTCTCTCTCGCAGAGTACATGTACCAGGTGATGAAGTTCAACAACTTCTCCCTTCCCAAAGAGGTAGGTGGGGGAGGGGCCGCACCGAGGGCCCAGCCCAGCCTGGCCCACGCTGGGTGTGGCCTCTCTCTGTCCCCAGGCCTTCTACATGATCCGGTTCCACTCCTTCTACCCGTGGCACACCGGGGGTGACTACCAGCAGCTGTGCAATGAGCAGGACCTGGCCATGCTGCCCTGGGTGCGGGAGTTCAAGTACGGCCCAAACCCGAGGAGACTGGGAGGGGTGGGAGGAGGGGACGGGGGCTTCTCCACCGGTCACTGTCCCCTCCTTCCTGCAGCAAGTTTGACCTGTACACCAAGTGTCCCGACCTGCCAGACGTGGACAAGCTTCGGCCCTACTACCAGGGGCTCATTGACAAGTACTGTCCCGGGGTCCTGAGCTGGTGACCAGCCGACCTGGCCTCTCAGGCCCGGCCCAGTGCGCCAGGGTGACAGCAGTCAGGTGCAGTGATACCCCACCCTGGCCTCTCTGGGGGGCTCCAGACACCCACCTGCGCTCTGTGCTCCTCACCCTGGTGGCCTCTCACTTGGTGGCAATAAAGACCTGACTCATGGCCCTGGCCTGGTAGTTCAGTTGGTTATAGCATCGCCCTGATGCACCGAGGTTGTGGGTTCAGCCCTTGGTCAGGGCACATACGAGAATCAACCAAGGAATGCATGAATGGGTGGAACAACAAGTGGATGCTTCCCCTTCCCTCTCTTGCTCTAAATCAATGTTAAAAAAAGACCTCGACACAGCTGCAGCCTGACCTCCGTGAGCCGCAGTGTGGCCCGTCGGGCTGCAGGGTGGTCTTCGGGCAGGGAGGCCAGACCGTGGCCTCTTAGACGTGTGTCCCGCTGCGCCTGCCGCGGTAAAACATCTTTCTCATCCTCCCAGCTCCCACGTCCAAACCTGGGGTCACCCTAGTACCCCCCTTTCTCAAAACAGTCACTCAGTTCAGCCTCCTTAAAAAACAGAACAGAAGAGCTCAGCCAAAGGAGGGCACTCCGGAAAGAGAAAAACGCAACTCCCCGGGCACCGGGTGCCTGCTGTGAACCGGCCCCACGAGTACCCAGCCCCGAGCCCTCCCATGCCCAGCTGCAGCCCCACCTTGGCTCAGCCAATCGCCTCATTTCATGTGGTGTCATCCCCTGGGTGTGCCCCCAAGGCCACAGCTTAGCTGGCTTCCCCTCTACCCCCTAGCAGTTTATCTCTTTGAAACAAGTAGCTCATTTGTGTCAGGGAATTTCCTTCTGTTGAAATTTGCCGGTTGCAGCTGTGGCATCCATCGATATTTCCTCGGTATTTCCTGCTCATTGGTAAATAAACTTAGAGACCCCATCTGATTCAGGTGTGGCTCGTGAGGGGCGAGAGCGCCTCAGAGGTGGCGGCGGGCGAGCTCTCTGAAGGAGGCTCAGCAAGTGCTGTCACCGAAGAAGACCGTCCCCAACCGTTAGGAGGCTGGACAGCGACCTCCAGCCGCGACCCCCCTCCCGGCTCCTCCTGGTGCTCCTCCTCCTCCTGCTGCTGACTGGGCACTGTTCGCGCTGGACAGGCCAGTACATGCTCGCTTGTGTTTCTCTGAGTTTGCCGGTTTGCAACGTCCTACAGTGACGATCGAGTCGTCTGTTTTTGAGTTGTGAACATAGAGATTTCAGCACATTCACGCTTCGGAACAGTGAATTATTATCCTTACTGGTGCTCAGACAGCCCCTCTTCCGGGTCCCGTGACTCGGGAGCACCCGCCTCTGGGGAGGGCTTGCTGCTTGTCTGCCTTCACGAGTACCCGGGCTGCTAGCTTCCTGTGTCCCGCCTAAGTGACCACAAAATTGTTGGCTTGAAACAACAGAAATTTATTCTCTCAAGTTCTGGAAGCCAAGGTGTCAACTCTTGAGACCAACATCTCCATGGCATTCAGGCCCCCCGCCCCAATAATTCAGGATGATCTCAAGACCCTTAACTTAATCTTATTGGCAAGATGTTTTTCCCAAGTAAGTCACACTCCCAAGTTCCCAGGGTTTGATGTGGGTCGGTCTTGGGGGCCATTTATCAGCTCACACAGAGGCTGCCCCAGACCTGGAATCTGTCCGAGCAGCCCTGGCTTCGTTGAGTGGGAAATGATATTTCAAATCCACAGGTGGGGGCTCAAGACTCTGGCACCTCTTGAACATCCACCTCCGCTCTCACCCCCCCCACGGAGGCCACAGGAGGCCGTGTTACCCATTGCCCGCCCCGCTCCCCACTCCGCCCTGCCCAGGCTGCTGCGCGGCCACGCCCTCCAGTCCTGCCGGAAACCCAGCCTGGCCCGCATGCGTCCCCCGGAGCTGCTGTGTGCCTGCGTCAGGAGAGAAAGGGCTCACGTGCTTTTCAGAGACTTTACCAAAGCTCTTCTCCTTTCACGCGCTTCCTTCCAGAAAACTCCTACCTGCTCTGGGCTCCCCCACCCTGTCACTGGGCAGCCTCTCTAGGTGTGGGCGGCTGTCCTTCTCCACCGCCCCCTCCCAGCCTGTGAGATCCCATGGGGCAGGTGCAGGGCAGCAAGAGGACCCTCTGCAGGAGCTGCTCCGTGGCAAGTGTGGGGCGTTGGAGAGGCGGGCAGGAGAGATCTGAGCTTGGACAGGACCGGGCAGTGAGGCCTCTGCCTTCGCAAACTCAGGGAAGAGGCAGGTCTTAGAGACGGCCGGGTGAGGAACAGCAGAGTCCTAGGGTTGGGGGTGGGGGTGCTTGGCAAGCTGTCCCCTGGGTCCAAAGTTGCCATCCTGATGCCACCCCTGGAGAAACTCCCTGTGCAGAGCAGGAGCAGCCACCTTTGCCTCTGCCCCCGGCCCCCAGCACTTTTCTGTGCCCCCGGCAGACCCTAACCGGCCCCCTCCAAGGAGGCCCAGGTTGAGGGGAGGGCGGTGGAGGCTACAGCTCCACCTTCCCGCCCACCCAGGGAACTGTCAGCCCTCGATGGGGGCCTCGGGGCACTGGGACAGCTGCCAACCCACTGCCCCGGCCCCTCGGCCTCCCTGCCAGGGCCCTGCCTCGGCAGCAGCCCTCGGTTTCCACCTGTTTCCACCGCCTGGGGCTCACGCCGTGCAGCACCCTTCTCGTAATATTTCTCTGTAAATGAGCCAGTTTACTCTGAGAAAGTGGGTTGCAAGTAGCAGACTTCGAGAAATCTAGTTCCTTTGCAGGCCCGCTGCGGGCCGCAAGTTGGGAACACAACTGGGACTGGAAACCTGGCGGCCTTGCCCTGCAGGAGCAGCTAATAACAGCTTCTGCCACTCTGGATGGAAGAGGCTGCTGAAGGTGCGAGGATTAATAAACAGAAACCTTATCTTGTGCCTCCCCCTCATTTGCCCTGCCACCCCAGCAGGAAGCAGGAGGCTCTCCTGCCCGGCAACCACTCAACCAATGAGAGACGGTTACCACTCAGCCAATGAGGAGCCACGACACTTCCAGCCCCACATTTCCTCCAATGCCCCCTCTGTTTACAGCAGCCCCTTTCACCGCCCCCCTTTCCTCTGTAAAAGGATGTTCCTCTACTTTGGACTAAAGACATGCCCGTGGTTTTCCTTGAGGTTGGTTGCCTTCTGAAATTGCAATTCTTTGTTTTCCCGGGGAAGAGCCCATTTTGCTCAAGAAATATCTGTCTTTTTGCTTAAGGTCAACAAGGGCCAGGCTGTGCTGACTATCAGCCAGCCCTAGGGAAGTGTGGCTGCTGCTGAAGGTACAGATGGCCCAAGGCCCTGGCTGGCGCGGCTCAGTGAGTGGAGCGCCCGCCGTGAACCAAAGGGTCGCGGGCTGGGTTCGAGGGCAGGGCCCGTGCCCGGGTTGCGGGCCAGGTGCCTTTCCCTCTCTAAAAATAAATCGAATATTTTTTAAAAACATCACTCAGGTGATTGAGTATCCAGCTCAACCTGTCAGTTTTACTCGGAAATACTGATAGACAAACTATAGTCATTCAGTCTTGGTCATTTGCAGGCATTTTCTTTCTTTCTTTTAAAGATTGTATTTATTTTTACAGAGAGGGGGAAAGAGAGGGATGGAAACATCAATGTCTGGTTGCCTCCCGCACGTCCCCTGCTGGGCCTGGCCCACAACTCAGGCTTGCGCCCTGACTGGGACTCGAACTGGTGACCCTGTGGTTTCCCTGCCAGCACTCAAGCCACTGAGCCACACCAGCCACTGCCATTTTTTACAAAAATCATTGACAAAGTGAGCCTCTCACTTCCAGGGAAGCACTGACAGCATTTGTTGGCAATGATAACATTTAGCTTGTGAGCAAACTTTAGAAATTGGGAAAACCTGTGTGTAACATAAGCCCTCATAGTTGGTTTTTGTAATGCAAGTGCCCAACTTAAACTCTGATTGCAGCAGCCTCCGTTTCTTTTTTTAAAATACTTTATTTATTTATCTTTAGAGAGGAAGGGAAGGAGAGAGGGAGAGAAATATCAATGGATGGTTGCCTCTCATGAGTCCCCTGCTGAGAACTGGCCTGCAACGTAGGCATGTGCCCTGACTGGGAATTGAACTGCAATCGAGTCGTTCGCAGGCAGGCCCGCACTCAATCCACTGAGCTACACCAGCCAGGGCAGCAGCCTCCATTTCAAAGAGGCAGGACTTCCAAGAAGCTCCGGCATGAACAGACAGCCACTAGGAGAAAAGCGGGACTGACTCACCGGATGTCAGGTTTTTTGATGAGATAAAGAAAAAAAGCAGGTTTTTTGATGAGATCAATGAACCTTTGATTGTATTAATGAATGCGATTTTTTTTTAAGGCTGTACAATGGGACCGGTCAACATGTGTAAGATCTGCGTAATTTAATGAACTAATATTTTTCAAGTGACCAATAGATGATCCAAAATCATGCAAGATGCACCAATGGATTTGCATGAGACCAGAAACGTCACTGGTAGCCCTGGCTGCTGCTGCGGCTCAGTGGACTGAACGCCTGCCTGAGAACCAAAGTGTCACCTGTTGGATTCCCAGTCAGGGCACATGCCTGGGTTGCAGGCCAGGTCCCCAGTAGGGGGCGCAGGAGAGGCAACCACACATTGATGTTTCTCTCCCTCTCTTTTTTCCTCCCTTCCCCTCTGTCTAAAAATAAACTTAAAACAATCTTTTTAAAAAAGGCTCACTGGTACGGTTTCAAATCCCAAATTGCAATGAGTCCCTAGGAAAGTACTACTTAGAGCCTTGATGTGGTATGAGAATATCTGTGATGATCTACAGCTTCCAAAATACTCTTCCCCTTTTCCAGCAACATATCTGGGTGAGGCCAGATTTTCCTCATATGTTTTGACCAAAAAGACATTGGAACAGACTGACCAGATGCAGATATGAGAAGTCAGGCATTAAATACTGCACTGCAAAAGTCCAGATCTACACCACTCTTCCCACAGTATTTTGGGAAATGCAGTTCATTTTCATTCAAATATTTGTTATTATCGAGGCATGTTATGGATTTATTTTTATGTTTAAATAAAACTGTGGCAATTTTCTTGGCCCTGCATAGTTTTCAGGACTTTGACGGGATCCTGGGCCAGATGACTGAGTCCCCGGGTGCCAGTCAGCTTCTTCCTGCA